GATATTTTTTTCAAAGAAATTTGATAAAATTATAAATATAAATGAATATATATTAATATACTTTTAAATCAATATAAATATATTATATATGTTATAAATATATTAGATGAAATTTAATTATAAACATATGATATATTCTTTTAAAAGACATTCATAAATTATAAATATAAGATGCAAATATAATTTTTCGTAACTAAAATATAAAAAATAGATATTCAATAGTTATATTATGTATTTATATTTTGTTAATATATTCAAATTTTATTTTATTTAAAATATATTTTTAGAATTATGCAGACAAAAGATAAAAAGTAAATAAATAAAAAAAGCGATAATTACATTTGATATTTAGTATGATGTCAAATTTCATAAAAAGAAAAATAATGATATCAATTACTTAATGTTTAAAATAATAAAACAAAATATTATTTGGCTGTTTTTTTTTTTTTTGAGGTGATATTATTTGGCTGTTAAAAAGTAAAAAAGAGATAGTTTGAATGTTAATGTGTAACTCGCCGGTCCCGCAAATCAAGCCATGATTTAGTTCGGGTAAATGCATTGTACTGTTTTCTGACCAAATAGGTCAAACATATTTTTGTTTTTTTCTTATCAAAATTAATCATAGTATTTATTTATATGTCTGTTACAAATCCCTTTGTTAGTACATGTATATTTTTCTTCATGAAGAGGAAAAATTAATTTGGTGTGTACTACAATTTTATAAGCTTGTGTTGTGCGGAGAAAAGAGAAATTGAAAGTTGGAAATTAAATTATGAGAATTAAAAAATGTTTTTTTTTATAAATTTTATTACTTACAATTTATATAAACATGGGATAGGAGAGAATCATCTTTTTTTTTTTTTTTAAATCAAAATCAAGAAAGTTACACAATAAATTTTAAGCAACCAATTTACTCCCTCTTAGTTAGACCATCTTTTCTAACAAATTACATTACTATTAGCTCATATTAAATGGACATGTTGCTTGACCTTTTCAATGTTAGAAAAACTTTCGACATAAGGAATCATACACTTAGATGCATTACCTCTCATTGTCAAATACTTATCCGAGACTTTGAGTTGGTCAACTAGTCAAAACCATTGATACTATTATTAGGAACAAAAATACTTCTTTTTTTATGCATAAAGATGATAGAACACAAACAAGTTAATGTCATAAAGAAATATAAAAAGATTACATAAAAGTTTAGTTAATGTGGTTCGACCTTTCATACCTACATATTGGATATTGTAGTTTATTTTCCATTTTAGCTTATTTAATTAGTTGTTAAGTTAGTTTTATTGGTTCTCTCTTTGTATAAATGAACCTCTTGCATCATTCTAACGATTCAATAATAATAGATAAATTTTAGTTGTTCTTTGTCTTCGCTTCCTTTCTCTCTTTTCCTTCATCTTTTTCTTTGGTTATTTGCTTTACAATTTTTTTTCTTCTGTATATTTGTGCATATATGTTCAACATGGTATTAGTAGATATTCAACTCCTAAAATTCTTGAGTTTTTCGTTCTTTTTTTTTTTTTTTGTTCTTTATGGCTACTCCCGAAAATCCAAAAAACCCTTCCTAAGATCCAACCAGCCTTTTGTTCCTTCATCACTCCAATGGGCCTGGATTGGTTCTTACTTCATAACCTCTTCTTGGAAGCAACAATTACACTACTTGGAGTTGTGTTATGATCGTGGCTCTATCCAAGAAGAACAAACTTGGATTTATCAATGGATTTCTTCCACAACCTGCTACAAATTCTGTAATGTCTTATTTTAGATACAATATTCTCAATTTTATTATTATACTCTTCTTAAAATAGTACTCTAAATTTTTAATTATTAAATATATATATATATATATATAATTGTTAAATATTGAATGTCTAATCTTTATTTTTCATTTTAAGTTCGTTGAGAACGTCATATACACTAACATTGCTATTAATTTATGGTACAAATTTATTACCAATCGGACGTCGTATTAGTGGATTAGTTTA